GGTGAGCCGTACCAATAGTTGAATTGATTGATACTGTTATTTGCTGATTTCATGAACTGCTTTCTTCAGGGTTTATTATTATAGGCTCACAGTAAATCTAACTTATGTGGAATTCTTAGAATCACAATTTTGGTGTTAATTCTTGTGCAGCTGAAGGAACATCAACTGCTCAAAGAGCTGCCTCAGCCTGTTTTCTTATCAGTTAGTTTTGGAGCTGTGAAAAACAGTCTTGTCCCTTCCTACATACTCTGACATATAAGTGGGCAGTGTCTGTTCATTTAAAATTAATCTGAGGGGTAGGAATTTTATGAGTAAGTTATGGTACTGAAAACTAATTTTTTTCTTTTTGGTATTTGGTTTTTTGGTTTTTTTTTTCTCTTTGTTTGTTTGGGTTTTTGTTTTGTTGGGGGTTTTTGTTTGGCTATTTTTTGGTGTGGTTTTTGTTTGTTTTTGCTCTCATGGTATATTTATATATATCATGGTGTATCTGTAGACTGATGTGAGAGCAGAAACATGAGCAGGAATAAATTTTCAGTAAGATCATTCAGAGCTTTTTCTCTCAGAAGCTGTTGTTTATGTGGACATCTATCTATATGATGAGAAATGTGTATAACTGCAGTGTCTTTTTAATGGATCTTGGTTAGCATCTTGGGTATTTAGATATATTTCTACCAGTACACAAATTTTCTGGAAACTTATAGCCATCTTCCAAATTTCAGCTGTGCCCCTATACTACCAGTCTCTTTCCTACTTCTTTTTCTGCACTGAGCCTGCTTCTTTGTTGATTTTGATAGATCACTGGAAAGGAAAGGAATGGTTCCTCTTCAGGCAAACAGTAAAATTCAAATACCGAAGAAATAAACTGAAAACATTAATTGTTTAGTAGAAGCCACTTTCTGTGGCTGAAACTCTGAATCTGAAGTAACATTTTGTCAGCACCTTGAGGCACCCCTGTATCCTAGCCCAGCATGTCCCCCCATTGTGTACTACCACTTGCATCATGTCAGAAAGTCTGAGAATTGCAGTGATCTTTCCCAAAGGCCCTCTTGTTTGAAGCATTGAAAGTTTTTTCCCTGCTTCAGAAAATTCCATACCAACATCCTCACAGTATGCAGGAAAATGCCTAGTGATTTGATTCTAACACTGAAACTGAAAGGAAGCAAAGTGGCATATATTATTATATTGGCTACCAGAGAAAGGCTTGTCTTTAAAAATATATGTTCCTTTTACATATGCTTTGTGGTAGGCATACAGCCTGAAGACTGGCACATGGCAAAGGGAAATAAATTAAAAATGCATAATTATATTATAAATATTTGTAAAATAGCTAGATAAATGTAATATGACAGAGAGAAGTCAAGAAGTCTTTTAGAATAACAAATCTGTGCTCTTAAATATATTGGAATTGTTCAGAGTGAGTTACAATATGGTAAAAAGTCATTTCATAGGCAGTGCACAGGCTATCAGGGAGGTTCACAACACTTTTGATAAAAGTCCTTTTCAAAGCAAGCATGAGAAGTTTCACCAAAGAAGTTCAGCTAAATAATTTTGGAAAGAAGAAAAGGTAAAAGGTTTTCAGGAAGGATCAGGTGATGATGCCTGTGTGGAAACCTGTAGCCATTGTTTATTGATTGATGGACTGATTTGTAACTTAGGAAATGTTTCCAACAGGAATAAAAGTTATCCAGCTTATTAAAAGATTAGGAATTTTCCAAGTCTGCTGGAAAATTTTTTAAATAAATTTTCTCATGTAACTGCCCGTTCACATAGTTTTTCACACATTCATTCTTACTCTGTAATTTATGCCTGTAGGAGTGCAAGGTTTATAAGCATCAGAAAACAAGAGGGGGCAAGAATCTGGTTCCTTAAATGCAAGTAAAAATTTTATATAGTCATCCTCCTGTTCTGTAGGCCTGTACATCACAGGCCTTACTGTGTGGCTAATTCTTCTATAGGAGGACTTTGACTGTGGGACTTGACTCCATTTGTTCTCTGTGTTGATGTAAATATCAAGAATAAGCTGGAGGTTTTGTAGGGAGCAATGTATTATTTTCTGCTTTTGCTGCAGATGGTAGAATTTGCTCAGGCTGCAAGAGCTGCAAAAGTACATAATGAAATAGAAAATTATACTAAAAATGGCAGAAACTTTGCAAGAGAGAAACTTGTTCTGCCTTTAGCAAAGGGTCACTAAAGTTTCTTCAGTGGAGATATCCATATCTGGGGATATTGCTGGTGATTTCTTGCTTTCAGAAACCTCTTTCCCATTAGTCCAAACAGAGCACAATGTCAGTAATAGTTGGGTCAGGGTGCTAATTATCTTTGTGAAAAATAGATGGGCAGACAGTCCAGGAGATAGATGCATCCTAATTTGTTGAGAGCTTTTAAAGATAAATGGCCTTGAAGTAGATTTGTTTTCAAATGAATAGCCAGTAGAGAGTTTGGAGCAGTGGCACAGTGAGCTCTCATCAGTTTTTCTCAGAGTGATGAATGTTGCATATTCTGTCTGTTGACATGGTCTTTGCCATCAGATGTCCCAATTTATTAATATTTTTTAGGGCAGTGGCTGTAAATTATTGCAGCCCAGTTTTATTACTGTTTTACATCTATCAAGGACTGAGTCCCACGTGCAGTTTTATATTAACTCAGCAGGCACCATTAAAATATTGACATTTAGGCTCATTTTGGCACCATTAATCATAACATTAATCATAGCATTTTATCATGCCTTAATTTTATGAAATGACTGATTTGAAATGACTGGAGTGTTCACTTCTCTAAAAGCAGGTGAAACAATAATTTCCATTTTTCTACTTTTTCAACCAGTAACTGTACTTTAAAAAACACAAACAACAAACAACCCTAAAGACATAACACCCCCATCTCCTAACTGTGTGTGCTGTGGGCATCTACTTGACTTCTTTGCAACAACTGAACATCTAAGACCCAGCAGCTCTTATGGGCCTCAATGGAAGCTCTTGGAAGTGTCATTTCTAAAAATCAGCCTCTGAAATCTCAGTGTAAACACCTACAGTACATTTTTGGCTTCAAAAATGTACCCTAATAATAATAACAAGAGTACTTCTGAGTGCAGAGAAAAGCTGCAATCTATGGCTGTTTTCATATGCTGAAATGGCTTAAGGGTTTAAAACAGGCACAGAAGTGCCTTTTGTGATTCTCCAGCGAGAATAGGCTTACAGCACCCATGTCTGCTTTGTCTTACTATACCAGTAACTGAAGCTGTGATATTTGCTGGCTCTTTTCAATGGAGAGCATCACTAGATGATTATGTTTAATACAAGGAGTTGGCAGCTTTTCTCACTTAACAATCATTAGGAGATCTGCTGCTGAGGTCCCATTTTGTGAGGCAGCTGGAAATTGGCACTTAGTTTGAATGTATTGTTTTCTACCTTTCTCTTAAAGTTCAAGGACAAGGAAAAACTGCTCAAACTACACAGAGAAAAAACTTTTTTCTCACTTTCTTTCTTTTACTTGGTCTTTCCACCTGTCCATTTATTCCCTGTGAAAATTTATTCCCCTGTATATACATGAATTAAATAAAGTGAGGACAATGTCAGCAAAGATGGAAGCAGGAGGCTTGAGGGAAGGTATTTGAAAGCACCAGGCAGAAGATAGCATTGATCATCATGTAGACTTTTCACTGGAGTAAAAATCATCTAGGTCTTCATTTCTGTTTCTCTTGAAGGGAAAACAATATTGCTTATTGAGAACTTATGAAGGGAGACAATATTGCTTCTGTTTTAGGAAACAGGCCTGGAATGGGTCAGTGGGGAGGGAAACCCTAAATCACTCAAAGTAGGAAAGGTGCAGAAGATATGGAATACTGGTATCCCAGTTTGCTAACCTTCACTTTGTTCTCCTAATCATGCATTTAATTAATTATTTTAAAGACTGCCCCTTCCGAATCCAATCCCAATATGTTCTTTCACCTTCAGCAGTTTGACCAGCTGTATTTTCCTTGATAACATGATATGACTCAGGCCACAGGTTTCTACTGTAGCCTTCCGCCTATGCTATACTGGATCTTCTCAAAAGATGTTCTAGTGATAGAGGTTTTCTTTTTTCAATTACAGTGGCTTCACATGACCAAATATTATTCATTAACTTGATTGCCTAAGGATATCAAGCTCCAGGGGAAACTTGTATTCCTATATGATTGGCAAGATAATTAGGAAGTGAAATAATGCAAGTCCCACTGCAGGCAGCCATCAATGATTTATGTATTTACTCTTTGAATTCAAAGTGTGTCATATCATACATACTTTTTTTATTTTAAGGCTCTTCTAACTGTAGGTTTATTTTCGACCTTCAGCATGCACGTTTTGCAGGGGCAGGAGGCTTTATGAGCTTAATCAAGTTGGGCTGGTAAACCCACTGAGATTTTTAGTCTGCAGTATCACCTAGATAACACAGGCTAAAGTACACTTTTGCTTTTATTAGCTCTTGGTTTTAAGTTCCTAGGTCACAGCCTTTCATTCTTTATTTCTACCACAATTAGAGCTTCTAAATGACATGAAAACACAGGCACAGAAGCCACTGATGGCAGTAAGAGTTCTGCATCCTCCAGGAGGGTGGAATATTGGGTGTAGGTTAAAGACATCTTTATATGGAGTCTCCTCCAGTCTTCCCCATTAACAGAGACCAGGGTAAGCTCATATCAGTAATTGCTGCATCCAGGCACCAGTAGCAGGTGGGAGATTAAATGAGAGAGCTGTATAGATGTGGGGTCCTGTTGAGGATGGCCTTCAGTAAGTAAAAGTCACTTATAAATGAAACATGTAGCAAAGCCCTACCAAGTAAAAGGTGTCTTATGAAGTTCTGGCAGTTTCTCAATCTGAAGTGGTAAAACCTGAGAAACAAGGATACTAGTGGAGTTACTCTGATGTGGTTGGACTAAAATTCATCTGGCAAAAATAATTTTTTTTTTAAAAGGACAAAAAAATCAATATTCTTGCTAATGAGTACCAACATTTATCTTACAGGGAACCTGAAGTTTTGCCTTCTGATTCTGAACCAGCCTTTCAACAAAGGTCATTTCCATTGTCTCTGGAGCAGAGGTAATAATAACTTACATACATCTTCATTTGTGTATTTTCTTAGCTGTTACCCAGCTAATGTACTTCATGTCTGTTGAATTTCAGTGTGGCAATTTCCTCTTTACTAGAGCAACCTTCTGCTGAGAGTGTGAACTGGCAGAGTATGTCCCTTGTTCCTGAATGCAGCAAATGAGCTGATTATGCAAATTCTGCATCCCTGCATTGCACACATCAGAGGGAACTTTGTGCACTGATCTGTGTAAGACTGTAGCTTTTCAGAGGCTTCTCAGGAACAATCATTGTTTTGCTGACAAAGTGTAACAGATCAATGGTGCATTTAAGAATCTGGAAGTGAGCATTTCTTTAAAGGTCATCAGTGAAAAGTGTTAAATTTAATCAAAATAAAATGAACCGTGTAGATACTAAGTTGTGAAAGCAGTGGGGAATTTGCGTGCTTGTCAGAAATATGCAAATCAGATTTCACTACCCCTTTGTTAAATATACACAGTGCTAATCATCATCTCTGGTATGATAGCTTCAGATTTGCTGACATTTTGTAGAGATATGTAAATCTTTACACGCTTGGAGCTATTAATTCCTCCGTGCAAGAACGTAGCCCTTCAGAAGCTTTCTGAAAAGCCACAGGAACTGTCTCTAACTTAGTCCCAGGGTGGGAACCTTGTAGAGAGATTCCTCTTAACTGAGTGGAGCTGATAGAGCTATTTGGTTGCACCATAGGCATAAGGACTGGCAGGGGGTAGCTGTACAGTTAAAAGGAGTTGAAATAAAGGATGAAGTGAACAGGATATATTCATAGCACTTAATTCCAGTAAACCCAAATTCGGTACCCATATAGCCAAAAGAGTGATAAAAAAGGAAGATAATTGTACAAGACTATTCAAAGCACCTGAATAAATGCTGTACCCCAAGCGAACTTACTTTCATTTGTATAATTAGCAAGAAAATAACAAGCCCTCAGTGGAAGGGCTTTCCAGTTATTTTATAGATCAGATTCTACATATTTTTTCATTTAAAAAGATACAGTAAAACACCTGCTTTGTACTAAATAGAGAATGAAACAAGGTGAAACTCTTTGTCCAACCTTTCCTGTTTTTAGGACGGGGGTTAAGAAAAGAGACAGTAAACCAGACATGCACGGTTTCTGAATAACGGTATTTAGTGTCTTGTAGTACCTTGCACGTGTTGCTGTAGTGCTGTATTTTGTTAATCAGACTTTTTTTTTTGTGTCCTTTGGAATTCTAAATCTGCCTTATTTGATGAAACCTTGGGGCACAGGGTGCTTCTTACTGTAAGCCCTTAAACTGTAGTGCTTCTGTGAAGGGTTGAAATAAGCTGAATAAAATCAAGTAGGCCAAAGACTGTCTAATTCAAAGCTACCTCAATGGATTCCTGTTCTCTGAGCATAACTGTGTTGAAAATGATTGTTGGTGCTGTAAACAGTTTTCCAAAGTCTTTGTGGAAAGGAGCAGAAGCCCTAATTAAGCTATTAAGATTTTTTTCTGGTAGATTACTTTAAGAAATAGGTGGATATTTTCTATCTAAGTAAAATGACAGATGGAAGTGGTTACATGGTAAACATGAAATGTTTTTCTTCAAAGCATCTCAGCTGCAGCCAACCTTAGTGAATCCAGGACAAGATTTTGGTAATGCCTGACTTACAGTGCTAGTGGACTACTTTAGGTGTCAGCTGTTTTCTGGATCCTGCTTCTGGAGGAGCATTAGCACAGTGACTGTTGCAGTACTAGGAGAACCTGGGGGACTGGGTATGTGAACTGAAAGAAGTTCTGAAGGAATCATCCTTAGGAACAATGTTTGATGGCCAGCTGTATATGCTTGAGATATCATAAAGGAGAGATGAGAAGGAAATAATGGGGCTATTAATCCCCAGAATATTTCCAGCTACACAAACTCAGGGAGAAAGGGAGAGAAAAATGCAAAGGAAAAATAAGATAAAATATTGTCCTACTTCTCCGAGTTACGGGAATCTTGGGTTGTTATGCTCAGCACAGAATGCTGAGATGTGTTATTTTCAAGTAGCTTGGGTCCCGTTGTCCTGGTTTAGGGCAAATTTGGGAGGAAAGGAAATGATACAAGCATCATAAAGTTACCCTACAACACCTATCAAAATAACTTCTTTCATTAGCCCTGTCAGTTTAGTGTCAAGTAAAAAGTGGTGTGATGTGCGATTTCCTAAGTTAAAAAAAAAAATCGCATCAATAAGTGGCTGTTCTAGGCTAAAATCATCCCAGGTGTAACTCCTCTTGACCTTGAGAAAAAGTGGTTGCAGCTAATTAACCTTTGTCTTATTACACACATTTATGAAATCTATTTTTACTGACATACTTTCAAAAGAACTATTTCAGTCAGTACAAGTTTGCATGAACTTCCTTCCTTGTGCTTTGTGAAGGACACTGAAATCATACTTCATCACTTCCAAGAGACATCTTTTACCATTCTTGCTACACAAGCTGGATAAGTGACTATAATGAAGCAGTACAAGCTAAGGACTATATGATTTTAGTCTATTATAGATCATTATTGTATTGAATCAGTTTAGAATATGTTGACTTGTTTGGTGTTTGGTACAGTCATGCGGTGTTAGTAGTGTCCTAAAAGCAGGATGGATGAAATGCTGGAGAAGGGGCAGTTTGCAAAAGCAGGATGAATACTAATATGGCAGACAACATTGGTTGTTCCCTGAAGGATTTATTGGGCTGCATATAGTGAGAAGGGGAAAAACCAAATGGCAAGAAAAATTAAAGAGAATAGATCAGTAAAGGGGAATTGGAGGTAATGTGGAAAATATGCCAAAGAGTCAGGACCCAGCTTTTCTCAGAGCTGCACATTTTTCTGTCTGTGAGTTTTCTATAAGGAAGACTGGATCCAGTAGGCCTTACCATAACACTGTCATGCATCCTAAATTCCTGCTTATGCAAAGTTTTTAGCTCCTGGTTTGAATCCTATCTAATAAAAAAAAAAATATGGTTATGACAAAATCCAGTTTGAATTAGTCTCTGGGGCTACTTCTCAAGTGATTTCAAATGTAAATATATCTTCGACAGAATTGACTGTGAGTTGAAAGTCTGAAGCTGTCTTAAGTTTGAGAAGTACAGAGCCCAGGTTTTTGTGGCTAAAAACAGAATGGGCTTTCTGGGGAATAAATGAAAGTTCCTGAGACTTTAATTCTGCTTTTTAAAATCTCTTTAATCAGAAATGCAGTGACTTACTTATGCCAAGAATTACAGCTATGTCTAGTGATTTCAAGTGCTCTGATTTTTTTATGTCTCCCTAGGGAAGAGGCAGAATTATTTCACTGCTAAGAAATCACCTCAGTGAAAATTGTCTTCAGTTCAGGATCTGAAAACTGTTTCTTTTTTCTGAAAATGTTACCCCTACAAGCTACTCAAATGATCCAGAATTTTCTTACGTTCTCTGCCTTATAATAGGATGTTAAATGGCTGTACATTGTGGAGTAGTTTCCACTCTTAAATGTTGACAGTGACAACTGTAAAGAACAAGGAGTTATGCTCTGGAAAATAAGATTATTATTTAAAAAGTCAGAGTGAAATGACAGCATTCTATAGCAACCTGGTGAAGCTGGGCTTTTTAGTAGGAAAATGTGTCCATGTGTATTTTTTAGTTCTCATAATGGTTGTGCTGCATTGGCCGCTGTGCCTTCCTCAAAAGCATTGTGATTTCTTTCCGCAAATAAACACTTTCCATGAAAGCCTTTAATCAAACAAAACAGGTCGAACAACTTCAAATATTAGCCATTCATACTACCAAATGTCCTCTGTTAATGTATTAGAATAAGCTACCAACATCCCTTTGTAACGGGCTTATTGAATCCTGACTTGTGGGAGGTGTGTTTAATGTTGGACAATTCAATAGAAAGGAGACATCTTTGAAACCAGGCTGCTAAAATGTCCCTCAGGTGCACATCCTTAAACAGTCTCTTCCACAGGCAGTTCTTTCCAGTGAAGGAACTTGGGGTCTAGCTCTATTCTCTTATGCTGCTCTACAGACAACATGACCAGCCACTTCATATGCATAGTATATGGACATTTTATGACACCTTGTAGATCATAAAAATGGAGGAACTCCAGAAAGGGGAACGTTGCTCACTCTGGAGACCTCTGTATTGTGTGTGGGGTCCATATACTGAGATAACAGAAAGCATTCTTCTACAGCGGCAGTGTAGTAAGTCAAATCCAAACTCTGTTAAATTGTCTTCAATTGGTATTTTCTTAGAGTATTTATATTGTGATGGCTTATCCATAAACTGAGTTTTCTCTATCAATACCCATATTGCAACTACTCCATCAAAGTAGTTGTTGCATTCTAAATCTTCTCTTGAATGTCAGGCAACTTTCCTGTCAAGGCCAGCCTACTCTTTGGTGAAAATGCTCATTATGAATGGTTGATTAGCACCTCGAGGTGACTGTGCATTACCAAATATCTTTCCTTACTAAATAATCAAATCAGAAGAGATGCTGATTTGCATGACTGATTTCCAGGTCATCTGTCTTTGAATGCCACATGCTCCCATGCATTTTATATATTCCATATGCTTTTGTCTGCAATGTAACAGGTGATTGATATCTTGAATGTCGTCAATTGAGGTCCAAGAGCTGTGTATAGAGGGAAATAAGATACAAGTGGCAATGCAAAGTTCAGGTATAACTTCAGATGTACAGAGGGGAAGGTAACAGATCAGTTTGAACAGTTTTAATGTCTCATAGCAGAAGAAAAGATATTATGGTTTAGTAAGAGGAGGGGAAATAACCTGACTTTCCCTGGTGCTGGTTTTTCTTCTCTATGATTGATACTTTTTCCTTTAGTCTTTAGGGGTTGAACTCACCTACACTTCCAGAATTATTAGTGTGTGCAGCCATTCACTTGCCCTTTTACCTGTCATCAATGAGCTTGCCTTGTTGCATATGGTGAGCTTTTTTCTCACCTTTTATTTTCGTTTCTAGCTGAACTTGTAATATATCTCA